AGTGGTCATTCATGTTAATGGTAGTGTCCCCTGAACCCTTATTCAATAATTAAAATAAACTGACCTTATTTTCAGGATACTTGATTATTTTCCTTAGGTGGATCTTTGCTGGACACTCACATTTCTTCGTATCCTGTACTATAAAGCGCTGTTTGGTGTTGTTATAGCAGTGATCAGCATTCTCCTTCTGAAACCAAATAGATTTATTGGATTGTTAGATAGAGCAGTCATATGGGAATAGTCAAGTTATCAATAAACTTAGAAGTAATGAAAAGTATCCTTTAAAATAGTACTTGATTCCTACCTTGTAAACTGCAGTCACAGTGGTCCTTTTTTGCGACTTTGCTTATTTTAACAAATAAAATGTGATATGTCCTTTTACTTGCAAGTGGTAAAAAAGAAAACATTATTGCCTGCTATTAGCCCTGAGGGAGAGGTGAGTGCTCACCAACTTGCTTAGAAAAATCAGTTGGGACTTACCACCTTGTTAGCTTAAGAGCAAAATAATTTAATAGGTGAAGGTAAATCAATAACTATGTAATGCCCTACATATGATATCCTCTTTGGGAGTCCTTAAGTAATAATATCATCTTGTTTACATTCTTATTTAGTTAATTAATATGCATGCTTACATCTTTTTGTAGTCTCTTTTGAGCCTCCTTCCTTTTGAGTGCCTTATTTCTGTCTGGCCCATTTTGGCATTCTAAAACTTTGACCCCCACAATTTGGAATGGGATGCCATCAAAACTTAGTCTGCATCCTGTCATCTCCTGTGAGTCAGCCCATTGTATACGGTGGTTCTTAGCATTTTTATCTGCATTTTCTTTTATGTGAGAAGAGGAACAAAGCTAAGTTAGCAATACGATACATGCACACAAACACATACGTACATATGTACACATGGGTGCTTAAAATGGAGGGCCTGAAAATCAAGCCTGCCCCACCCAGATGTAGCCCAAGGACTGGTGTAATGGATGGGGATGCTGGCAGCTGTGTGTCAATAGCACTGAGTAGGGTTTTGACACTTTAAGCTTGATCTTAATTAATTAAGCATTTCTTGCCAACTCTTGCTGCAGGCTCACAGTAAATTGACACTTGAAGCTAAGTTGAATTTTAATTACATGTTAATTTTGAAAGTCTAACTGACCAGGGTAAACCGAAGAATAATGATGTGTACATGTATTCTTAAGATATCAATAATTATTGGAAAAAAGTTAAATCCCTTTTTTTATTTTGATTTATCTATATTTCATGTTAATAACACGATCTCACACGCCCCTGGCTTTAAATACCTATAGTGTCTAAATAAAGTTATACTTCACTTTACTTTACTGTCAGTATGGTTTATTTTGTAAATCTTTACATGTGAGCTTACTTACCCAGCCTACTGCAATTTGAAAATCCTCCTGTTTGTTTAAATACAGTGAAGCGTGTCGTCGTAGCTATCTCGCACTGTTTTATGAGTTCGTCAGCGCTGCTTTCATCGTTAACATACCCGGAATAAGGGTCAAACTGTACGGTCCATCTTGAAGCCCAAGGTGTACTGTTATCAGCCATGTTTGTTCTTCTACCAAACATTTAGATTTCCCGCCAATATTTACCCGCGAGCCGCAAAACATAAATGCATGAGTGTTAAATATTAACTGGACCACCCCTTGGCAAATATATTTATTAGTAGCAAATAAGATGTTGAACAAAAACCAAGAGATCATGGTCAAATAAAACGTAAAGATAATTTATTACAAACAGAAAAGAACTGTATGTTTGTTCCAATCGAAAGATTTTACAGTGCAAAGTTATGCAAATGATCTTTGACCTGAATCTGCTTTTGGTCGATGATAGCGAGGTCAGAGGATAACATCGACCGAAACTATTAGGCCGGTCATATTTAAGTGTCGATCCTCCTTTTAACGCCTTTATAACAGGCTAGATTTTTTCTTAAATATGTGATCTAGACAGAAATTAGTTTGTACAAGTTATGGGAAGAATACTTTCGCAATAAAATATTGAAGAATACGACGCTTTATCGTCAGTCACACAGGTCACGGTCTCTTGATTCGCCGGAAACGAGCAGAAAAATAGAAGACTCTCGCTACGATTCCGCTGACGTGTCATGGGCTCATCTGGTTTGGGACGATGATATGTATTGCCCTTGGGGTGTTGTCAATTAATCAGATCGACCGAAACCAGGTCGACAACTTACAAACCAGCCAAACATTTCGTTAACAGCGCCATCGATCAAAATGTCATTACACTCCAACAAAAGACCCGCTTTTCTGTTCAAATCTGCCAGAAACTGGCTCAAACGCACTTCCTATTCCATGAGTACACTGTAAAATACGCTTTAACAAGAATAAGCGGAAGTCACATTGTAAACTGAGGATACTCATACAAGATGCCGCTGATATGTCGTGGGCTCATCTGGTTTAGGACGATGTTATATAGTGCTTTCCATTCAAGATGGCGTCGGAGACGTCATCGAAGATGACATCATTCAAGATGGCGGTGTAATATATTCATAATATGAGGGTGTAGGTGGGGTAAAATTTAGTTCACTGCCTCCCTTAGGGGAATGTAACGTGTACTTGTATGTTCATGTTGCACATACGACATCATGATGAGATATATATCTATGTCAAGACCTCACTTCCCATCCATGTGGGAGATGTTACAACACTTTACGCATGCGCAGTGTGAGATGTCTGTCAGAGACTTTACGCATGCGCAGTGTAAGATTTTGTCTGAAAAAGATGGCTGTTCGGGGCTGCCTGAAGCTGCCCAAGGCTGCCCTAACCTCTAGGGGATTACATGAAGGCTGCCCAAGGCTGCCCTAACCTCGAGGGGATTACATGAAGGCTGTCCGAGGCTGCCTTAATCTCTAGAGAACTAAAAAGAATTCACAAGATGTGATGTGTGTCAGAGTGACCGTGTTGGATGCACATGTCTAAAAGGGGCAAGAAGACACGACGCCGTCGCGTGTTAAAAGTGCGTCGCCTTAAGCGCAAGATTCGTCAGCAAGCATCGAAACATGCACAAGATGTGGAAAGGTATCAGAAAAAAATTCAGGAGTTGAAATTACGGGAGAGACATCATGACATTATATTCCACGATGCCTTGCGATACATTTACCACCCCCATGGAAATGAACGATGTATTTACTATACTAACTGGGATAAAGAAATAGCAGACGGCTTTTCTTCTGCATTTCATGAGTTAGATTATGGATAAGACAACCCACATGTAAAATCTAATGCAAAGTTTATTATTATACAAATGGAGTACGATAAAAATGAAAAATGTTATCACTGTTTCTGTTGGGAATGGTAGCTAACCATGTACAATTCTCTAGATGTGGTGGTACCTCTTGAAAGGGTACAAAATTGAAACAGATAATGCTCATGACATCCAAATTCCGGCGATGTATGCGTCTTTGGCAACAAGGTGTAGCTGTAGCATTGTGCATATTGACGTTGATTTGTGTTAAACAGATGAAACAATCATACGGTCTGCCATCTTCTTCCACATCTTGTCGTGCGAGTCTTCGTGATCGTCTTACAGGAGGCATCTAAAAAGAACGACATTGTTAGAAAAAAGTCGACTGAAAAAATTAAAAAAAAAAAAATCACTCGTAACGTACGTACCTTGGTCAAAAGTCCAGCAAGGATTTTTACGATCTAATTCCGAAAAATGACACACTTCTTTCTTAGATTCAAACGCTACGCAAAAGTGTAGTAACAAAAAGATACCGCTACGTTTTGTTGGACCATTTCATTGATGACCTTGAGTATACCGAATGATCGAAATACACCATTCACAGATGGCGTCGTTTTAGAATTCACCAATCACCACGCGGGAAATCCAACCGATCAAATAACACCAAATTTCTTTGATGACCTTGAGTATACCGACGGATCGAAATACACCAATCACAGATGGCGTCGTTTTAGAATTCACCAATCACCATGCGGGAAAACAAACCAATCAAATGACACCAAATTTCTTTGATGACCTTGAGTATACCGACGGATCGAAATGCACCAATCACAGAGAGCGTCGTTTTAGAATTCACCAATCACCATGCGGGAAAACAGACCAATCAAATGACACAAAATTTAGTATATAAGTCGCGCACTCTTATCTTAAAAGTTGCAGAAGTTAAGTGAGAAGAATCTGAAGACTGAAGATTAAAATCCTAAAGACTGAGTGAAGATGGCGCAACAAGAAAACAAAAAGTTGGAGGTCAGTATGATAGTGTCAAAATAAGACTGTCGCGGCAGGCAAGCAGCATTTTTAATACGTTACAAATGTTTTACGTTTTTAGGACCCTACCGCCTATATATGTCCCGAGTGCCGAGACGACATGCTCGATTATGAGAAAATTCTAGAAGAGCTAACAAAACAGAAGATTCATAGAACTCAAGTTTTTTTCAAGCTCCTAAAGCTGGTTAAAAAAGAACAATTAAAAGCCGCGACGGAGTTGGTGAAGGTTTACATGAAAAACCCCGAGGATTTTTAACCGTGTCAAAGTACAAACTGTTGTAAATAAAATGCGAGTAAAACTTATATTTGTGTCATGTCTTGTTAGTTGATGATGGCAAAAAGAAAGAATGATGATGTGGAGGAAGAGGATAGTATCTCGGATGACCAATTAAATCAACATTATGATGAACTTGAAAAACAACAGTATGGTGGAGAAATATCTGACGATCAACTCAATGAATTGTATGATAAATTGGACCAACAACAATTGGATGCCCTCAATATAGACTTGGGTGTGGAACAATCAGGTGGTGCTCTCTTTAACTTTGAATTTCAAAATGCTGGATTCCCAAAAAATTGGAAAAAGACAGCGGATAAACAAAGATACGAGGCCACCCTCAAGCAGACACGAACTCCATCCCAAGACGATAATATCGGAAAAGAAATTACAAATGCGTTAGCGAGGTAAGAGTTTAAAAAGTGTGTTGAAAAAAAGTTTCAGGGGATAAACTCTTATCGAAATTTATTTTGGGTTATTTTTTTTAAATCGATACGGAAACAAATTCAGCAAAAGAAATGTTCATCTCATGACGCGTTCCATTTCACCTTACAATCGAATCAATTCGCCCACGCCCAACAATCAGCCACATTCAAAGTAGGAGAAATCATGAAGAATTCAGAACGCTTTGAAAATTACATGACTGCTATGGCTAATAAATTGAATTCAGGAGAATCGTTTAAATCCTCTTCTAAGTTTACCGCCGACCTTACCTTTATTCGAATGCCTAAAGGTGGTAAAAGTGGTCGACAAAAAGCTCTATTGGGAAAGCGATCCATGGCAGAAGTTTTGAAAAAGAAACATTCCGTGATTCAAATTACAAATTCAGACGAATTGTGTTGTGCAAGATCCATAAAGATGAGGGGAATCGACAGAAAATCGTTTACGAAAATGCAAAAAAATGTGACACTGTTCGATCACGAATGGCCCATCAACTCCATGAAGATGCGGGCGTACCTTTGGGGGCATGCGGGCACCAAGAATTGAAAAAATTTCAAGACTTCCTAGCACCAGACTATCAATTAAAAGTGATGGCAACTTCCTACCCCTACATGATGGTATTTGTAGGCCCAGAAGCACCGCATATTATCCGCCTCTTGCTCCAGAAACACGATGACTCTGAGACTGGTCACTATGACACTTGCACATCTTACGCTGGTTTTCTAGAACGATCCTATTTTTGTGATCAGTGCAACAAGGGATTTGATCATAATGACTTCAGACATCATCCATGTGAGGGTCGAAGATGTCATGCATGCAAACAAGTAGAATGTGGCGCAAAACCTGATTATGCCTTGCGTGAAGTACCCTGTTCTTCTTGTTGCCGAAAGTTTTACAGTCAGACGTGTTATGACATGCATAAAGAGAAAAAGATCTGCGACAGCCTTGTTCAATGCCCTATGTGTCGTAAGGAGTTTCAAACCTTAGCGTCAAAAGAACCTCACCAATGCTACTTTGACAAATGCTCTGTATGCCATGAATATGTAAAACTTACAGAACACAAATGCTTTATTCAACCTGTGGCAACCAAAGAAGATCAAAGAAAGAAAAAAACCAAAGCAACCCTGAAACGCCATAGAAAAAAAAATCCCTTGGCTTCGGTGTATGAAGAACCTCCCATCTTCGTCTATGCTGATTTTGAATCTATGATAGCGGAAGATAACACACACATCCCCGTATTGGTCTGCGCCCTCACCTCTGAAGATGATACCTTCGAAACCTACTACGGGGAGAATTGCACGGCCGACTTTCTGAACTTTCTCACCCAGCTCACAGAGGACGAATATGGCGACCCACGCGAGGTGATATGCATTTTCCATAATTTAAAGGGGTACGATTCTATGTTTCTACAGCATCAGTTGGTAAAGGAAGAAAGAAAGATCGAGGACATCATCGCCATAGGCACTAAATGGTTATCCTTCAAAGTGGGTCAAATCACATTCAAAGATTCGTTCAGCTTCCTCCCGATGTCACTCTCAGCCTTTACCAGTACCTTTGGTCTCACGGAACTCAAGAAAGGTTTCTTTCCTCACCTGTTCCACACACCTGACCATCAAGATTATGTGGGAGCCCTGCCAGCAGCCTCCTATTACGACCCAGAAAGTATGTCCAATTCGAAAAAAAAAGAATTTCAACTCTGGTACGAAGAACAAGTGAAAAAGCAAGACCCATTTGATCTCAAGCAAGAACTCATAGCCTACTGCCAATCAGATGTCGCCCTTCTTAAAGCCGGCTGTCTTAAATTTGTGAATGAATTCCAGTCCACGTCTGGGTTTGATCCGATGGAAAAATGTGCCACGATTGCGTCAGCATGTAACAGATATTGGCGTAAAAAACATCTTTCCAAGGACACTGTGGCCGTTGAACCTGTAAGAGGATGGCGTGGGGCACAAGTCAATCAATCAGAAGTTGCGTTAGAATGGTTGATGTGGCAGGAACATCAGCTTGAATCAGACAGCCCACGTATCCAACATGTTCGTAATGGTGGGGAGAAGTTGATACCCGCAGGGCCCGAGGCATACCATGTCGATGGTTTTGATAGCCACACAAACACTGTGTATGAATTTCATGGCTGTTTGTTTCACGGGTGCAGACGTTGTCATAAAGACCGCAAGAAAATGGCGTTTTCATCAGGCAGCTACACGATGGAAGCCTTGTGTCAGCAGACGGAAGGCAAATGTCAGACACTCCGACAGATGGGGTATAAAGTGGTTCAAATCTGGGAATGTCAATGGAAGGAGCAGAAAAAGGCCTCAAAGGAAATTCAAGATTTTCTCAAGGAAATCAATCTTGTACCACAGCTCAATCCGAGAGATGCGTTCTTTGGAGGTCGAACTGGGGCGGCGTCGCTTTATTACAAGGCCAACACAGATGAAGGCGAGCAAATCAGATACGTCGACGTCACCTCAGAATATCCCTATGTAAACAAATACGGCACCTACCCCATAGGTCACCCCGAAATC